TAAATTAAATAATTAATTAAAAAACCAACCTCTGTAAATATTAGACAAATATTTTCACTTAGAATAAGTGGTGTAAATGATGACGAATAAAATATAAATTTCATTTGTTTATAATTTCATCAATCTTTATTGTCTTTTTTTTTTTCATCTTAGACGATTACGAAAAGCACATGATGAAATTTGCGAGAAAATAAAAGAATTGATGAATTTGGATCTTCTCAAGGAAATCAATAAATGGAAAGATGTTATGGGTGTGATCAGAAATAAAATAGCGGAACAAGAACGAAATATCGGTAATCGAAGGAATATGATACCGTGGTTATCACATTGGGATCGTCAACTTTATAAGGTTGATAGAAGATTTTTTTTTTTCTTTTTACAAGAATTTATAGAAATTTTTCAGATTTTTATTTTAAATTTTGAATTGTTAACTTTTTTTTTTACAGACATTACAATTGCAATACCAATGGGGTATCGAAAATCTTCACATGCAAATTCCATTAATTCAAGTTCAGCTAATATTTAAGTAAAATTTATCATTACCTTTGTAACGTTATTTTCCTCCGTTGTTTTCTTCATAACTTATAATAGCATAAAAACAAATTCATTGAAGTTGAATATGAATGAAATTTAGATGTTTAATTTGAATTTAATTCGGTAAATTTGCAGAGATCAACAACTTGAATTACGACCACCATTGGAAGAGATTCGTGCAAAATATTATCGAGAATTAAGAAAGTTCATTAGCATTCCACAGAAATTTCGTGGTGTTCAAGAAACTGAACAAGTAAATTAAGTTATAATGTGATATCCCATAAATGATTATTATTTACTGTAGCGCATCCTTTGCATTCAACTACACGTCTGCGTATTATACGTGATCGTGTATGCTTATGATCACATCATTTTAATTTAACAATTGATATACGCATATGATACGTTAAAAAAAGACAATCACATATACGACAGTATCTTCTTAACTTACTTAGGGATTTTGGAAATTTAATGTTCAATTTTATAGTTTGATCATAATTTAGTGACGTATACAGAAGTATTTAGGCTAGTGAATTATTTGCAAAAATGATCGAACATAATGCGAATCGATTTTGGAGTGTTTATGAAAAAGCCGAACAACTATTCGAAAAGCTTATTAATGTAGGAAGTGAATTTGAGGTAAAAATTTTGCTGACAATTTTTTTCCGAGGAAATGACTTTAAAATGACGTGGATTTACGCTATCATTTTCAAGAAAGAATTGTTCTTTGATAGGATAAGACATATTTGTACGTTAAATTGAAAACTATTTGAGAACTGATTGAAAGATATTGATAATTTTATTGGTAAAAATTTACAGAATTGGATTGTTTTGGGCCAAGTTGATCTGGAAAGTTTAATTACGAAACATTTCAAGCAAGCAGCAGACTGGGAAAATCAGATCAAGCTACTGAAAGGAAAAGGAAGAGATGCGGAAAAATTGCCAAGGTAAAATTATTAACAGTTTTAAAATTAGCCGATTAATTTAGATCTTTGAAACTCGTTTCCTTTAACAAATTTGATTGAGTTCAATAATTTTTTTATGCAAATAATAAATACTTTGCTAGTCATTCCATAACTTTATAATCCGTTGTTTCGTTTTGCTATCGATAGAAATTTTCAAGCATGCAATAGAATAAATTGAAGCGCTCGAAAGGATAGTTCAATAATTACGTGCTATGAAATATTTCGTTTTTTAAGACTTAATCTCAGAAAAAAAAAATAAACGCAAAGCCTGAAGTTGCATTTCTTCCTATTTTCATCATTACTATTTTTCCTTTTTCCTCCTTCTAATTGAATGACAAAATTCCTTAATTACTCATTAGTTCGATATGTTGTTCTTTCCAGCTCATTAGCAGAAGATCTATTCGATTTAATTACATTCACAGTATTGCTAATATCAAATAAATAAAATATTACAGTGAAGTAAGATTGGAATGTATTCTTGTTTCAACATCAGCTGTTAAAATTGCTATTGATGATATGCTACAACGACTTTTCGACACGCTAATATGGACATTGAGATATTCCATCAATAATGAAATCCACGTAACGTTTGAATTATCACAACTGCTATTGTACTGCACCGAATACATTCTTAAAGCCATGCAAATGTCTCGAAAAAAAAACATTTAAATATTTTGCAGGTCTCCTTTTTTTCAGGATATCAACCGTTTCCTAAATCAGGCAATCGAAGTACTCAGTTCTAGGCCTCAATCAATTGCTGAAATTGCTGAAGCAAATCAAAAGCATATCGAATTTGGAAAATCCAATAAAGAGGTTCTTTTTTTTAAATTGAATTTTAGTATAAATGCTTCATGCAGTTTGATAAGTTTACATTTCACAATTTAAAATCACAATTTTTAGATGAAGAGAATGCTTGATCTAATTGAGGAAAAAAATGTTCTGTTACGATCAATTGGTGGAAGCGGTGCTGAACAATTACCAACTGTGTTAGCATTATGGGAGAAATTTGAACTAATGTTAGATAGCCATCAATCAATGATCAAGGAGCAGGTTTATCATTTAAATTATATTTTAAACGTAAAGTTTTCTTCTCAAATTTTAATTAGTTAAAACACTTTCTTTTTATTCCTGTCCTTGTGATAAAATAAAATATCAACGTGACTGTTTAAATTGAGCACAGAACAATAATCTTTTTTTTATTTCGGGAATATAATGTTTTAAGTGATACTAACAGATATGAAATTTCATTTGATTAAGAATAAAGAGAAATAGTTTTCACAAATGATCAAAGTAGTAAACTATTGAATTTCCAAAATTAGGCAGTCACTATTCAAATGTCAACTGAGCAGTTTAATCAGTAGCATTGTTTTTCACTAACTAAATTGATAATTTAAATTTTTTAATTATGTGAGCGGGTTTAACAGTCACTGACCTTAATATAATGCTTATATTTATAATTAAAAGTTACTAGTATAATAATATGATAAATGATCAGATAGCTATTGTAATCGATGTTAATTGATCAAATCAATCATGTTTTTTTCCTTTATTTGCAGGTGGACACACTAAAATCGAATGTTAATACACGTCTGAAGTCATTAAGTGATGAAATTGAAAAATTATTTGTTCGCTGGAACCAATTCAAACCAAAAAATGATCTTTTTGATGATGATAGAAATGCTATACTTGAAGCAATACAATTCATCAAGGAAAAACGTGATGAATTTGATGAGTTGCAACAAAAGCGAGATGCTTTATTGTATGTATGCTAAATTCAAAATCAAAAATATTTTCACGTAAATTTTGGTTAATGCATTTTTAGCCGATAGAAAGAAAAGATTAGAATGAAGAGAGATCAGCGTGCATGATGAAACTTAAGAGTTGAAAGCGCAACATTTTTGCACGATAATCATTAATTGAAATATCTCAGATCATTTTCCAAAATCAGCTAGGAAAAAAAAAATTAAATCTGAATAATTTAGAGATTTGTGAAAACTTCTAAAATTTGACATGGATTATTTAAATATATCATTCATCTGAGGATATTCAGGATAGAATGTGAACAATTTGATATTGAAAAATCAGAAATACCATTTTTTGATGACATGGCAAATGATCTTAAAAAC